GCTCCCGCTTCCTGCTGGCCCTGTGTAGTGTCTTTACCACAGCCGGGAGCCTGGCCATGTCCTTGGGACTCTGCTTTTTCTTCGGCCTGACGATATCGCTGCAGTCGAAGGACATATTCCCGTACCTGGTCATCCTTGTGGGACTGGAGAACAGCTTGGTGATCACGAAGAGTGTTGTGTCCATGGACGAGACTTTCGATGTGAAGATCCGCGTGGCACAGGCCTTAAGCAAGGAGGGCTGGCACATCTCAAAGACGCTGCTAACGGAGATCACTATTTTAACTATTGGCCTCGCCACCTTCGTGCCCGTCATCCAGGAGTTCTGCATATTCGCAATTGTCGGCTTGCTCTCAGATTTCATGCTGCAGATGCTCCTGTTCTCGACCATTTTGGCCATGAACATAAAGAGGGCCGAGTACACAACGGAAGCAAAGCATCTCCCAAAGATGATGCTGAGCTGTACCCAAGGTAGTGTTGGGCGACAGGACTTTCGCTTCTTCGGGGCCGCTGCGACGATGCCTTCAACCTTTGTCCCGGGTACCTTCCAGCGCTCCCAGTCGCATCCGAAGCTCTGCTTTGCCGATGCCACTGGTGTTGGCGAGCGGTCAAACCTAGTCAGCCCCGGACACTCGGCAGTGGAGCAGCGTATTCCAAAGCGCATAAAGATCGTGAACTTCTGGGCACGAACCCGGTTCTTTCAGCGTGCCTTTATGATCTGGATGATTGTGTGGATCTGCTCCATAGTATACAACTCAGGCTGTCTGGAGCAATTGTTCAGCATGCAGAGCAATGGAACGATGACAGCCACTATGGAGCTGCAGCGGCGCCTACAGGCGGGACGCGGAGCTGTCAGCAGCTTCTTTGAGGGCTGGAAGGCGGCAGACGGACAGAGAACGGTGACGCCGAGTGCCACACCTAGCAGCGCCTACTCCACACCAAGCGATGCACCTCCCCCCCTCACGAATGATGGAAACGAGACGGGCGAGGAACTGCTGCGCCTGCGCTACCCCAACTTCGACCTCAACTATTTCCTTTCGAACTTTCACTGGTCCACAGTAATGAAGCAGTACAACGTCTCCCTGAGTGGCCAGTACGTTACCCTGCTGCCCAGCATTCGGCTGAGCCACGCAATCACCCCAGAGCTGGCTGCCCTGCTCCGCAATCCGCAAGAGCAACTGCAGCAAAACTTTCAATGGAAGGCTTTGGCGGCTGCCCTCGATCCGTTGGACTTTAACGACGATGATGTGCATCGAGAGTCGCCGATGGTTATGCCGGGCGGAATGCCGCTGGTGCCGAAGAGTCCAATGGAAATATTCTTCGCCATTCTGCTGTGCTGCATCAGCATCTTCGTGCTCTGCTACACAATGGTTGTCTTCTACCGCTGCATCTGCACCAGAAACTATGCCGAGTGGCGATCCAGCTGGCACGAGTTCGAGGCGCCTCACAAGCAGACGGAGCAAATTCTTGAGGGCGTGCCGACGCAAGTCGCTGGCCACAAGCACCGCATCGAGTGCCTGGTCTCCGACGGGGCTTACATCATTAGCTGCTGCCTCAAAGGCCAAATCCGCGTTTGGGATGCGCGCAGTGGGGAGCAGTTGGCAAGCATCGCCCGGTCCGACATGCAGATCTCGCAGCCACGGCCGGACGGGCAGACTTTGGTGCGAAAGCTACCTGTGTCGCCGGTCTGGTGTTTGGACTACTTTGACAATCTCATAGCAGTCGGCTGCGCCAACGGGCGCGTAGAGTTGTGGGAATCACCGGCCGGCGTACTGAAGTGCGCCTACCAAGAGGACGCCAAGCGCAACCAAGGCATCACCCACATTCACCTAAATGGAGACCGGGTGATTGTGGCGCGTCTAAACGGACGCCTGGACTTCTATCGTTTGGAGACGTACTACAAGGGCAAACAGATCGACTGGGGCTTCACCTCCGCCTATAGACGCAGTAAGTCAGACCTGGAGATTTAAATTAAGGTGTTTTACATTTACATTACTTCTTGCGTAGCTCACGTCCGGACCGGATCCACTGGCAGTCTGGGGCTGATGCAGCGCTGCCAGCAGGATGTGGCGCCTAAGACCACCAAGGAAGAGATGAAAATCACCTTGGAGGGCGTACGGCTGGCACACCAGCAACCTATTACATGCATGCAGGTTGCCAACGACATGGTTTTCACCGGCAGTCAGGATCACACACTTAAGGTACTCGGTCACAGCAAACCCACCTTGAAAGCCCTTCCATTCAACTTTCTGGTCTTGATTGCCCTTTGATAGGTGTACTGTCTCAACAAGGCGGATGTGGAGTATACGCTTCACGGACACTGCGGACCCGTTACCTGCCTCTTTGTCGACCGGTGGCAACCGGGTACCGGAGGCTCCGGTTCGCAGGACGGCCTGCTCTGCGTCTGGGATCTGTTCACGGGCGCCTGTATGTACAACATTCAGGCCCACGACGGTGCCGTCAGCTGCCTTGCCTGCGCTCCGAGCTACGTCATCTCTTTGGGGACGGACGAGCGGATCTGCGTGTGGGAGCGGTTCCAGGGCAACCTGCTGACCACCATCAACATCTCCAATGCCTACTCGAGCCTACTAATGCTGACTCCGTCTCTGTTGGTGACCAGCAAAATGGGTACGTGCGGTTTGGGCTTTTAGCCAGCAGATCTCTTTAACTAATTCGATCAATTTTGCTCAAACTGCAGGCTCTCTCATCGTGTGGGATGTGCGCACGGGCCAGCCGGCTCGCGAGGTCAAACTGGACTTTGCCAATCGACAGCTGTGCCCAAAAATCATGATGCTTGCCTGCGATTCCGTCATTTGCGACTACGGCAATGAGATCCGCGTCGTGCGCTTTCCCATAGTTGCCGACAAGTGCCACTGAAAAAGTGGGGACAGAGCCTGTCATTAGAACCTGGTTTTCTGAATAGCCTCGAAACTAATTAACCAGTGGGGCTTGCTATTTAAGTTATTAAGATTCGCTACGATTTAGTTGTAATAGTCGGACACCAAGTGTGTAATCAACTTCGATAGGCTAATGGATCTAAACTAAATGAAGAATTAAATATATATACACATATATTTTTGCGTAACTACATACTACTAAATAGTGTCTTAAAGCGCCTCAGAATAACACAATGACTACATTTTAGATTAAATACTACATGTATATTTATTAAAATCCCCTACGCTTAATTTTCTATATGAAAAGTAAAACTTACCACAAATAAACTCCCATTTTTTAAACCAAACTTTTTACTGGTTCATCGCCAGGGTCATCAAGTGCTATAATGTGGCACTTAATCAGTAATCAACATAAGCGATCAAGCTGCGGGCCTTTATTGCAAACTAAATGGGCTTCAAACTTTAGCTTTCCGAAGCAAGCTTACTACTTGCATTGTCATTCCTTGTTGGTCGTTGCTTATCAAAATCAATATGAGCAAAGTTGAGCAATTTGACGTATCCGGTAACAAAACATATGTAGATCTACTGGACAACATCTTAGATCGAATACATTTTTCTAAAGGTTTATGACTCCTTCACTGCGTTGCAAACTTCTGACTTAAATTATAACACCCCTGCAAGGGTAAAATGTCATCCGATTTTCATAAAATCAAATACCAAAATTCTAAAATAATAAAAAAAGCTCATATCTCAGAGTAGATGAAAATACGTTGACAGAAAAAAAAACGTATTAAAACATGTATTATATACTCATATTTTATATAGCACGCCTATAAAACCTTTGTGTTCTACAAGTTATAGGCGGGGGAAAACCAAAAAGTTGTAGAAGAATAGCTTTACACTTTGTGGTGTTTATAGGACTTTAGAGACAACCCAAAAGTAGAGGACATGGTTTTTGTTTTAAAACGGGTACTTACATCTGGAATCACCATTCACTTTTGAGAATTTCGTCACACCTCTAAAATTTTTAGAATGCTTGTTTTCGTATTTTCTTTTCCTTTTCCCTTAAGGATGCAGCTTTAAAGAGCTTTACACTTGCTTTTATCGGACTACAGCAGCATATTTTTAATTCTACGGCCCTATATAGAAGTCTCCTCTCGGTGATCATCGTCACTGCGTTAAAAACCGTCTACAGTGATGTGAGTCAACGTTCTCTTTATTGTATTATGTGTTAGGGCAGTGCTCAGGGATCCGAAAATTCGAAAAAGTAAACTTATATTTTGACGCCAATCCCTTTCTTATAGCTTTCCAGTTGTATCAATTGTGTTCTTTTGCACACTCTGAAGAGCTGTTTTACTCATCAATATTCACATACAAATTTCACATTTAATAAGAATAAAATATATACCTTTGATGCACGGTGCAGAAAAGGTGTAAAAAAATAATGAAAAGGCACTGATATAGGCTGCCAAATTAAGAGTATTTGCAAATTAAGAGAATTTTGTATTGTTTGTTTTCTTCGAAACAGCTGACTTACTGAGTTAAATAAAGAGCTTTCAAGTTTCTGTTCTTTGTCAACAAAACAAACCGGCCGTTATGACTATGTCGAGAACAGGAAATGAGAACAAAAATACCTTTATCTTAACGAAATTATTTTTAATAAAATGCATAAACTCGTATTTGTAAAGAGAAAAAAGAAATAAAAGTATTTAAAATAGTTTACCAGTCCTATTTACGGAATAAAATTAAATGTTTTTCCCCAAATCATTAGAGTTATGTTTTAAAACATTATTAATTTCTTGTATTTACATAAATATGTAACATTTTGGGCAACTAAAGATTCTAAAGATTCTGTATATTTCATGCAATTTCCAAAAGAGAACGGAGGAAGCTGACTAAGAAACTTGAAGCTCGCTTATAACAGGAAAGAACGTAAACAATAAAATTGTTCCCATTAAATAATAAAAGCTTCGCATAAACCCGACCATTCTGGGATCGCGACTGCGGACGCGGGGCTTACCTGAGAGACTAATAGCAGGAAGAGGGTGTGAGAGAACAGGTAACTGACGAGAGCGCCGGGTTATCAGTCACGACGGAGAGCCAACATACGGCCGATAACGCAGACCATGGAGTCCAGTTAACACCTAGGGGTCGGATAAAATTCGATCCCCTTGGTCCCGGTCCCCTTCCCTCATTCACACAGCGAACGGAGAGCATCGGTAGCAGCCGATGAGTTGGCCCGCTTATCATCTGCGCGCTCTTTCTGCGAAATTCTTTGGAGGTTCAGTGTCGAGAGGAACGTTGCTCCGAACAGAAGTGTGCCGGAAAGCCACTGCGCCAACCAGCAAAGAGAGCAACAGAGAGATTAAAGAAAAAACCCCACGCAAACCGGAGCGATAATGGTTTGGTGGAGCAAGAAGGGGGAGAAGGATAACAGCCGGCCCAGCCAGGCGCTGGTGCTTCAGGACCCCCGCACGAGCGTTAGGACCACGAGTGCCTCCACAGAGACGACCAACACAGCAGTGCAGAACTCTACAATCACCGACAGCAACAAGCAGACCGTCACCTTTATGTCCACACGCCAGACGGTGACGCACACCCAGCGAGCACTGATCACGGAGACGACGACGCGCCGCACTCCCAGCCAGGCCGAACTCGAGGCACTGTTCGCGCAGATGAGGATGGGCGGGGAGGGCGCAACCGGCACAACGACCACCACCACCACGGTTACCTCGCGCTCCCGACCACCGAGTCTGAATGGAGTGTCTTTCCGTTCCACACAGCCCTTCAAGGCCACGGCCAGCAGCGCTGGCAAGCGGTCCAGCACCCTGGTCAAGACGGAGCAAACAACAGTTACTAAGAAGAATGGACTAAACGTCACCCAGCACCTCGAGACGCATCGCGTGGATCTCAAAGGAAAGCCCGCCTGGACACCTTTCCCTTCGAACGTCAGCAGTTCGGGCTCGACTTACGTGTCCCCATACGCCAAGAAGTCGAGTCTGGCCATTACTAGTTCATCGCCTAGCCCGAAGGTCGCCGCCGTCTCTAGTCCGCCCAGTATTTCCAAGCCGACACCCTCTACATTCGAGAGCTTCTTCAAGACATCTTCAAAGCCCACAGTAAAGCCGCTAACATCCACGGCTGTGCCGAGGCCCTACGTAAGCCTCAGCGCCTCCGCGTCCTCCCCTAAGGCTAAGTCTAATTTCAGTAGCTTGGACGCCCAGGGTTCTCTCAGCTCCATTGCAGCATCGAGCTCCAAGACTAGCCTGGCAAAGAGCAAGCTGAAGCCGGCTAGGGTGTACATATTTAACAATGAGCGTTTTGAAACTAAAAATGAGTTCCGCACGGGAAGTGCCCACGATGTGAAGGCTCTGCGTTCTACCTTTGAGCGGCTAAAATGCAAGGTGGAGGTCATTACCGACGCTACTTTGGCCACCGTAAAGCGCACTGTAAAAACGCGTAAGTAAGATATTCAACCTTACTGGTTGATTATTAATGCAGCCTATATCTATTTATGCAGTGGAAACGAAGGACTTTGGGGACAAGAGTGCTCTGGTCCTCGTGTTTCTCAGCCATGGAACGCGCCATGACAGACTCGCAGCCAAGGATGATGACTACTCACTGGACTACGACGTGGTCTTTCCCATTTTGCGCAATCGGACGTTGAAGGACAAACCAAAGCTGCTCTTCGTCCAGGCTTGCAAGGGCGCCAATGAGCTGGGCGGGTTTATGACTGATGCTGCCCAACCGAACGGGTCCCCCAACGAAATCCTTAAGTGCTACAGCACCTACGAGGGCTACGTTTCCTACCGCACGGAGGACGGCACCCCCTTTATTCAGACGCTGTGTGAGGCTCTTGATAAGTCGGGTAAAACGTCCGACATTGATGCCATAATGACGAACGTGCGACGCGTGGTCAAGTCGCAAACCAAGTAAGTTTGCTTAACACCTTTTTACGATTACAAAATAACAGCCTTGTACTTTTCAGGGACGGCCAAATACCATCTGTCACCAGCACTCTCACTTCTAAGTACGTCTTTGGAGATTACATATGATTATCATCCTACGTAGTATTATTTATATTAAATTCCACATCCGAGATTGACAGTATCCACCTAAGCTACCTAAGTGATTTTTCTGGGAGCCATTTACCTTGTGATTCATAAAATAGCTAAATAGCTAGATTGAGCGCTATCCAACATCGATTTCTGATTGGTAATTGTGGGGTTTTGGTCTTTCGGACATCAATTGGGAAACAGACCGGAAATACATATGTATTTAGTATCTTATCATTTATTATGGCTTACCCAAATGATTAAGTCTGCGGGGAATCATTTTGTGGTGCCCAGACGTGCACAAAGAGACGTGGATACAGAATAGGAATAATAACAGGAACAATAAGGAGACAAAATTATTAATATGTTTTTTTGTGTTTTCAGCATTTTATTATTGCTATGTATAAATATACAACTTTTATATATTTTCTTTTAATTATTTAACCAGAATGGCTTGAGTCTTAATGATCCAATTGCACTCTGCAAGGGTATACAAACTTTGGCGTGCCGAAGTTTTATTTATTTATTTTACAATTTTGTTCCTGATTTCTAACGGTACATCGCGGACGGTCCAAATTTTCTCCATTAGGTTATTAGTTCGAATTTTGTAATGGGCCTTTATTTTAACAAAACTTCAGTACTTATAAATGTAGTCAAATAAAAGAAATAATAATAATGAATTATTTTATTAATAATTATTAGTTAATTATTGATACAAAAAGACAAAAAAGAAAATGTAATAAATAAGAACGAAAAGCAAAGCCAGCACTTAGAAGTCCCGAACAGAGGACAAATCATACCTCTGAGTTTCGGTAAAAATATTCCAAAAATGTACTTATTAATGTAACAATTTAAATGAAAGTAACTCATGTTATTAGACTTGTCAGGCTGACAAGTTAAAACCTTTACAAAAACTTTACTATAAGCGAACACATTTTTACCCAGTGTAAATGTGAAAGTAATAGCTACCGAAGACATTTACAATTTCCCAATATTTTCAAATTCATTTCAGAAGTACATCCCACCGCTTTTGGGAAACCGAATACTTGAGTTATAATATCAATATAATATAAATATTTGTTGTGTTATCTTCAGTTTTATTTATCTTTTTTTTCTGTTAGTTAGAATTTTTCTAAAACTTGGTCCAGTAGATAGGTGATGATGTCTTTAACTATGTTCTGTACTTTACTATTCTCCTTCTTGGGTAAATCTTTCTTCAACATAATTTTAAAGAAATTGGTAAAGGCACCTCCTTGCTTTGGCACACCGTCTACTATCTCCATATTGGACTCGAATTCATCAACCAGGGAATTCAGTTCAGTCTCCTTTGGGGCATCAGATTCCTCTTGGCCCCTATACTTCTTGTAGATTTCAATGGTTTCGTAGGTGATCTCCATCTGGGCATTGGGATTACTGTTTCACTCACTCATGGTACTCTGGAGTTCCTGGAGCCTCTGTCGATCCCGATCAATAGCGCCACCATTTCCAGTACTCACCAGGCAGCAGAGCATAGCCAGGACACAGCTGAAATAGGTAATTAATTAATATATTTTATTTTCAATGTACCTTTTTAACCAATACCTCAGTCGGATTGCGAAGTTCACTTTGACTCTATTTTGCTTAAAAAATGATCTGCAAACTGCTATTGGCAGCCTGAAATGTTTCCCTTTTATAAGCAAAATTACCTAAGAGAGAAGCATTCAAAATGTACACATATGTAAAAATATTTAATAAATAAACTTCATGGAATAATGGTTCTGAGAATTTCTTGCTGATCTGCTGAATGGTGATCTCCGAAGTGCCGCGCTTTATTTTGGTTAAGTTCCGGGCAGTAACACAGTAGGTGCTTCGGTGTCACCTGCTCACTCATTTCCTTACAGCTTTTGCAATGTGAATTATAGAACAGTCCTATCCTATAGGCATGCGTGCTTTTTGGCCAGTAGCCGGTGATGGCTGGAGTTATCCTCCTGATATCATTTATGACCTTTGCTGTTCGTCTCCTATTATATTCTCACCAGATTTCGATCTTCTGTGATCTTTCTTTTTTTGACCATTCCTTACTGGCTATTTGTTTGAAATGGTCTTGAATATCCGATTGGACTGAGCTCAGCGGAACTTGAATATCTGCTGTATTTGAGATTTCCTGGCCAGCTCGTCAGCTTTTTTGTTTCCGGGAATGTCATTGTGTCCGGGTACCCAGGCTATTTGTACCCAGTTGTGTTCTGCGTGCCTGTTTAGTGCATCCATGCACTTGGCTACTAGTGTGGATGTAGTCCTTGCGCTTGCGAGAGATGGGATGGCCGCTTGGCTGTCTGAGTATATCCGTACCTTGGTTTTCAGGAGGTCTCGATTTAGCGAGAGTTCAACTGCTATCAGTATTGGGAAAACCTCCGCTTGCAAAAACGACGCAGATACTGGGAGGTGGAAAGACTCTTCTGTTTCTTAGCTCTCGGCGAAGATATCGGCCTCTACTCCACAGCCATCGGTGTAGACCTCTTTTCCATTGTATGGTATATAGCAGTGAATGCATTGTCATATACATAGTCTGTGTCTTCTGACACCTTATGGTTTATCTCGTCCATGATTCTACAGTGCCCGGTGTGGTAGTTCTTTCAGCTATGGCTGGCCTTCAATCGTACCGCGCTTGAGTTTAGTAAGCGCCCTTGTCATTAATTCGCTGATGACGTCGGGGAATGGTCCTGAAGTGAGTAGGACAACGACGTCTGCGACAAAACTCCCCCCTGAGGTGTGCCCCTCTTCACAAATCTTGTGATGAGTACCACTCAGTTCGACTTTTATCCTTCTGCTTCTTAGCATTGCGGCGATCCATGTTCTGATGCCTTCTTCAACTTCTACCTTGTTGAGGGAGCTCAGGAAATACCTCTCTAAAATCTTTGCTTTCAATAAAGTCAATTGATCCAATCCAATTGATCAACATTGAAAAAAAGTAGCATATTCTGAAACATATTTCGAAATATTCAAATGAGAAAACCCGATTTATCATTATTTTGCTAAAAAAAACATCACAAAGAAGGTTATGTTTTGTTTTGAGAATCACTTCTAAAACACAGGCATGATTTAACTTTTGCTTTCTAACACCACTCAAAGTATACAAGAGTAGAAATAAAATCCTTAGATGTTTTTTATAAGATTACGTCAAAGAGGCGTGTACAAGCCACGGCTCCCTATATATATGGGTTAAATATAAAATACGGTCAATATTTGTCGTTATTTATAAAATATACAATACTATAGCCCGTCCCAGCTATGCACGGGTGCAATCGCTAAATCTATATATTATAATTTATAAATCCTTAAAACTACACAATGGATTTTGACTTAACAAATAGTGAGTATTTTTACACTTGACATTAGAAACCGATACTTATCAGTGTTTCGTTACTATATTATACATACATGTCTTGATAATTTGCTTAGCTACCTTGAGTACTTACCTATTTCCTAATGAGTGAAGGACTCCTTCTAACCTTGGGTGATAATTCTTGAATCTTCCGGGTTTTACTGGAGCAATGCTCTTTGACTTTAATAGTACTAGGTACCACAATTGTATACATTTATAATATAAATTATGTATTATTATTGTACAATATATATAGCTTTAACCACTTGGGTAGTCGTACAGGTTTTTTAAGAAATACACTTCGATTTAGGAATTATTACTCGTCACTACTTCAGCGCACTCAGTGCAGCTCCACCTGCAAATCGAACGGGTAGTCTCGGGAATTCAAACCCTGACGGAAAAGCTGAGTGTGCTGCCACGCCACGTCGCCCTTGCCACCGCTAAGCTTGGCTACGATCTGGAATCCACTAGAGTTCTCAATAGAAGCCGTTCCATCAATGGGTTCAACGGCAACATCAACTTTGCCCTCGCCAAACGTTTTCGTCTCGAAGACCAACTTATAGGACTTGACCTTTAGGTTGGCCTTGCTGAAATCAAACTTCCAAACGATTTCTCCGCATGCGGTGTCCTCTAGCCGAGCCAAGTATGCCATTTTCCAATCGCGCTCTACTTTTCGAAGAATGTTCTTTGAGGAAAATTGAGCCCTTTGCCAGGTCTTATAAGTGTCCAAAACAGTTACATTTCCCTCGACTAGGGGCATGGAAAAACCATGTGGTAAGCGAATGAAAATGTCAATATTTAATGTATGCCTACTCACCACGGGAGTAGCGTTCGTAGGTGTCTGTGGCGCAGCTGTAGCGGACATTTAGCTTCCGATTGTGAAGCTCAGTTTCCATCGGGGTGAAGACGAAAATCTGCAAATAGCTAGGTTGTATTATCTGAACCTTATTCAACTGAAGCTCCCTTACGTTGGTAAAAGTGTGCTCGCCGCGCGACTGACGCCAAGAAAGGCTTCCGGAACTTCTGCCCTTCAGTTCGTTCTCAGTCGGCGGGCTGCAAATAGGTGAATACAAATAATAGTAGGCTGATAATATTTCTCTCTATTGGAGTTGGCAGTTGTGGCTTACCGCTCCAAGGTCAATGCGATAATTTCGTACAGGTTGCGCTGACTAAGCACCTTTTGCCGCTCGGGAGTGCAATTCCTGCGCCGCTTGATGCGAATCTCGTCTAGCGTCTTCACCAATTCTTTTTCATCGCACAGCCGGCGAAGATGTCGGATCTTCTGGTGGTCGTTTGTGTAACGCCAAGTCACGTCCTGAATGTCGTCCCGCGAGTAGGCCAGTATGTAATCAATATTGCGCTTCCAGCCATGCTGGTACATAAGCGGAGAGTCCACAACATTGTCAGAGGGATCCACGTGCAGCCAGCGCATCTGGGCCTCCGAATACACCTCGGTCCACACGTGGTCGAAGTGAGAGTGCACGATGCGGGCATCGTAGTCCAGGCAGCGACACATAAATGTAAAACAGTTAGCAAACTCTCCGCAGCGGCCCTTGCGAGAGACCAACAGCTGAGAGATGTCGTTGTAACGGTAGAACTTGCTTTCCTGGCCGCAGCACACGGTGACCTCCACCCGGACATCGCCCACCCGCTCCGTGCGCCTTAGCTTGCTCTCGTCGCTGCCGCACACGCGGCAAGGAATGTTGTTGACCCACTCGAAAAACTCGGTATTAAACCAGTTTACCAGCTCGACGAGCAGGAGGTCGCGAATACAGGGCTCTTTCTCCGGACACGCACCAGAGGCGATCCGCTCCTGCGCATCCATTAGCTTCTCGCTCGCCTTAGAGGTCAGCTCGTCAATGGGGATCAGAGTGCGGCCAGTAGCTAGCAGGAGTTCGTCCTCGTACTGCATTACGGCATCCGAGTAAAGCTCCAGCGACTGCAGAAAGTTATTGGAGGTGCGCTGAAAACACTCTTCCCGGTCAGAATTTAGCGCATCCAATGGAAATATATATTAGGGGAAAATCCTACCAGTACTCGGGGAAAGGCGATCCGTTGTCGATATTCCACAGAGGGTTTGATGAACAACGGCGAGGGCGTGTTGCTGGTGGCGGCTTGTTGGGGCAAACCTATTGATAATTCCAAAGGAGGACATTACAAAGCTATTTTGGCTTCACTACTAAACCTTACTTTTGGGCACGGCCCCACTGACCCAGGCGGACCGCCGCTCGCTTAGTGCGTCCCGGTACCTTTGAACCTGCTGCAGGGACGCCTCACTGGGCAAAGTAAATGCGTTAGAGCCGGGAGCACGGACGAAGCCGATGGCATCCAACAGCCTCTCACATCCGGGCAGGCTAAGCAACTTCTCCTTGATCGTCTTGTTATCCAGACGTATTGTGCGGAACTTGGCGTTCTTCGGCTGCGAAAGGACGTTTTCCAGCAGCACCAGCAGAATGCGCACTGCCTCCAGGTAGGCATCCCTCTGCCGTTGCTCCTCAGTGGAGCGAGTGGCCGTCGGCTCTATCAGGTGTACCTCCAAATTTATGTCCACCATCTTAATGGCTCCTTACCCGTTCTTTATCAGATTGGATAGTCTGGTGTGGGTGGTGGGTGGCCGAAACAAAGAGTTTAAGTGTTGGAAAGTGTTTATTTCCCGGAACATTGCAGACCACTGATGTCGATCAAGCTGACTTGGTCCTTCTTCACCTGGCTCCTGGTCCACTACAATTTCCAGCCACTTGAAGTTATTTCTACTGGAATGTTTGCTTAAATGTTTCATGTTGGAGATCAGCTTGTTTTATTAAAATTTGCAATTTATTTTTTGTGCTCTCAAATTACGTGTAGCCATCTGGCAACGCCATTCAACTTTTTAGTATTTTTTTTTGTCGCCGTACGTCCCTTCAAAACGACGCCTTTGAAATTTGCCTCTTGTTATCTCCCTCAGCACTTTAACCAAAGATATGACAAAAAACACAATTCTATAACCTGTTTTGCCGTATCGTGTGTCATCAATATTTTACTGCACATTTAGAACATGTTTTATGCATGTTTAGTATTATTTCAGCAGCCAGTTCCGAGCGCTGCGGTTTGCAGTGTTGACAGCTTAGCTTTTTTCTGGCTAGAAGTGGCATATTTGAAAATGAAATCGCTTAAAATATTCACTAGTAGTTTATTTATTTTTGTTCATGTTTTGGTATTTAAATATTTTAACATAATAAATATTTTTTATCAAATATAAAGTTATCATTTATCATGGGGATACAGTTCAAAATTGAGCAAAAGTGCTTTACCCGGAAAACAATAAGCAACTTGAGTTCAAATAAAATGCTTCCTTTTAGTGGACCATAAAACCAAATTATTTAAATAATGACTTTAAAAGATAGCTATTTCGTAATACTGGCATGACACTGCCGCATTAATTAGAGACTTCATTAAAGATTTGACAGCGCTATAGCGTTTTACACAAGTGCGAGCAAGACGACTATATTGCGCTCTAATGCATTAGCTACTTCATTGACGCGATAATCGATAGATCTACATATTATATACTAGATACTCGATAACAAAATACGGGTTTAATGAAGAAAATTGTAATTGAAAAATGTATTAGCCAGCTCATTGACAGTATGGTCTCACAATGAGAATTTTATTTTTATATCATTTCGCTTGTTTTTTGAACTGAAAATATATTAGAAAATTAGCAAAAATAATATGTTTTGCGGTAGCAAGTTTCTTGCGCTGTAAAATTAATTAAAATTATTTTTTTTGTAATAATTAAAAAAATTTTAAGCATTATAGGTTAAAAACATAAATTTAAAGGATTCTGCATTTATTTATGCAAGAATACTTCGACGAGGAATTCAGAAATTCATAATAATACGCCGCGAATGGCGGCCGTTTTTTTTGTTTACCTTTTACGGACGATGTGACCGTAGTCGTATTACCAAAATAATCCAAGCAAAATTCAAGCCAAATTACACAAAATTACACATATAGTGGTCTCTTTCAAGGTTCTAATGAAGTAGCTAATTAATGAAAACTGCATTAGTGTATCATATGGGCATAATTGGATGTAGCTACTTTGCTTAAGTATTTTTTGGTATATTTTTAGCTTATTTTTTTCTCGGAATCTAGCCAATAGGTGGCAACACTGGCGTGATGACACATGCGCTATCGATAACCGGCCGGCGCAGGGGCGATTTTCAACCACTTTACCTCGAAAAAGTAGGCGTCGGTCATTTCAATCTTCAAGCGTCTGCCATTGTGATAGTTCGTTTCTGAGGTGAATCAAACTCAGCTTGTTTTACAAACTTCCATATAAGGTAATATATCTGCCCGTCTCTTTGTTCGTCTGCTGGTCTGTGTGTGCGTGTTGCCCCAGAAGTCGGAGGCTAGTCGGCCTCTGATTCCTGGCTGTACTTGGCGAGCTCCTGGTGGTTTTCGCCTGAATTCCTCGATTCGAGTGTACATATCTGGCGTTCTTCTCCATTGCAGAACCAATCAATCTACAACAAAATGTGTGACGAAGAGGTTGCAGCTTTGGTGGTGGACAACGGATCCGGCATGTGCAAAGCCGGCTTTGCTGGCGATGACGCACCCCGTGCCGTCTTCCCTTCGATTGTCGGTCGTCCACGTCACCAGGGCGTGATGGTCGGCATGGGCCAGAAGGACTCGTACGTTGGTGACGAGGCTCAGTCCAAGCGCGGTATCCTCACACTTAAGTATCCCATTGAGCACGGCATTGTTACCAACTGGGATGATATGGAGAAGATCTGGCACCACACCTTCTACAACGAGCTGCGCGTCGCCCCCGAGGAGCACCCCGTCCTCCTGACTGAGGCTCCCCTGAACCCCAAGGCTAATCGCGAAAAGATGACTCAAATCATGTTTGAGACTTTCAACACTCCGGCCATGTATGTCGCTATTCAGGCTGTGCTGTCCCTGTACGCCTCCGGCCGTACCACCGGTATTGTTCTGGACTCTGGCGACGGTGTCTCACACACCGTTCCCATCTATGAAGGCTACGCCCTGCCGCACGCCATCTTGCGTCTGGATCTGGCTGGTCGCGATTTGACCGACTATCTGATGAAGATCCTTACCGAGCGCGGCTACTCGTTCACCACTACCGCTGAGCGTGAAATTGTGCGCGACATTAAGGAAAAACTTTGCTATGTTGCCCTGGACTTTGAGCAGGAGATGGCCACAGCCGCATCTAGCTCGTCACTGGAGAAGTCGTATGAGCTGCCCGATGGACAGGTTATCACAATCGGAAACGAGCGATTCCGTTGCCCTGAGTCGCTATTCCAGCCGTCCTTCCTCGGCATGGAGGCCTGCGGCATCCACGAGACCACCTACAACTCGATCATGAAGTGCGATGTGGACATCCGCAAGGATCTGTACGCCAACACCGTGTTGTCTGGCGGCACCACCATGTACCCGGGCATCGCCGATCGCATGCAAAAGGAAATCACCGCCCTGGCTCCGTCCACCATGAAGATCAAGATTGTCGCCCCGCCAGAGCGCAAGTACTCTGTCTGGATCGGCGGTTCCATCCTGGCCTCGCTGTCCACATTCCAGCAGATGTGGATCTCGAAGCAGGAGTACGACGAGTCCGGCCCATCCATCGTCCACCGCAAGTGCTTCTAAGCACTCGCTGGCTGCCGAGCTGGGCGTGGTCGAACACTCCCTTGGCAGACAAAGGACGGAGACTAGAAGTATTGGGCATGAGTACATTAATACCGCGAGATGGCGCACCTGCCGGAGAATGCATTCCAACACTTTTTTTTACACAATTTTTGCACTGCCCACGAGCCAACGCATATTGTGTTCTGTTCCAAATTCAACTTTACGTGCACATCGGCATTTCCATACAAAAAAGATTCATTTTTGGCATTCCCATTGCTTCCATGCATTCCTACATATGTATTAAACCCACACATACCATACCACTAAAATACTTGTATCCGCTTCTTAATATTAATAAAGCGATCAAAGAACTGAACTCCCGGCTTTGGCTATCTATTATTGGGATTTGTGTGTGTGGCGAGTAGCACATGACTAAGCGCCGATCGATCTGTGTGATATTTCGCTGGCTATGCGCTCACTCCGCTGGAATGTGGTGTCGCAGGCGTCGGGGCGATAAGACGCTTACTAATAAGTTGGCCTTTTCTGGGCTAACCAGATGCTAGCAAGTTAGCAGGAAGTGCCTGATAACCGAACCCTTGACCACGGGTGCCTGCACATACGGGTGTGATTCAGCACGACCCCTCCCGCCTTATCGGCGGTTTCATGTTGATTGATTGCAAGGGAAGAGCGAGGCAAGGGGAAAGGGGAACCCCAAAATGCTAAAGCCGTTACCTTATAGGGGCATATTGGAAGAGAGAATCACACTCGCGCAAACTCCCGTGGCTGCAAGTAGGGGTGTAAGCAAAGTCGCATTGTTGACTCACACACAAATGTTTAGAGTCATCAATGGCATTGTTTGCCGTACGTTTACGGACGGTGGTCCGAGGCTGGGCGCACCCCTTCCCCTGCCATGTGACTGGCTGAGCGACATTTGAGGCGGGGCTGCTCCCAAACAATTCCAATTGTGATGTCTGTTCCGGAGACTTGCAATTGACCAAATTTAATCAACTATTGTTAGAAATCGATCGAATGACTAGACTTCGATGACCCGATCGTCAGCTCCCATATATGGAGCCTGCTCTTGATCAAAGCTACATACATAGGAATACATATATTTTAAAAATATTTACTTAACTTTATTTATATATATGTATGTGTGTGTATATCGTTGAGTAGAGTTTGAACAATTTCTTACATTCCACAAATCTTGGGGCTTTTTAAAATATATGTAAGTTTCAATAGATTGTTATACGTGAGATTAGGGCAATTTGTATACAAAAATCACTAAATATGAAATATTTAATTGCGTTTTTCCCTTTAAATTGCGAAAAGCCTGTAGTGCCGAATCGGATAAATACATTCAAAGGTTCGCTGAACTCGGCATGTTTTGCTTTAAGTTGCACTTGGTTGGCATGCGCAGTCTTTACAATAAAGAAAAAGAAAGATAGAGTGCCCGGTTGTGAGATACGGGTGGTAAAAGCAGCGCGATATATAAAAAACATAGCCCTGTACAGTTTTTACCATACAAATCGACTTTAATTTTGAATTTATAAATTAATTTATTGCGCAGAAACATTGGCACAATAAGTGTATTTGTTGATGTATGCTGACTACTACAGATAGAATAATAATACTAACAATAATAAGGACATAAAAACAAGACAGGAGCTATCTTCGAAAAATCAAAAACTTTCGAGTTGTGTCTCGAACGAGTATCGGGCCATATACCCGATAATGATGCCGTAAAAGGTCCGCAATCGAAATCTTATTCGGATTCCGAAAATTATAGCATTTTATGCCACAAAACTCATGACAGGTGATTAAATTTACTATCGTTTATGGGTCTGAATCGGACGTTTTGTTCACCTGACAATAGCAAAACTATAGTTTTCGATATCATAAACAAAGTTTCTGTCCGCTGGGTGATTACCACTAGCCTGTTTTAATAGAACGCACATAGACTTATACTAAGAATAAAATACACTTGAAAAATCAGCCTTTGATAAAAAAAACTCTGCGGTATTAGTATTAAAAATGCGTGGATTCACCTTATGTCAGAGTCTACTCTTCTGCTGGTTTCTACTTTTCATTCGTGGGCATACTCACCAAAATAAAATAAAAAGGCATAAGTGGGTGTCTCTGAGTTGCGACTTGTTTGATTTTTATAAATTATGAATACATTTTATTCGTAATTGGTTTTGCTTGATCTAAATGTACATGACGTCGTATATGTATGTGTGGGCCGAATATAATAAATGATTACAAAGTATAATTAAATGCCTAACGTTATTAATATGGATTTAAACTGTTGCACGCAGCCAAGTAGCGATTAGCTAGCACTTAATAACTAACGCTCCCTCCTCTATTTGTGATTAAGCATATAATGTCGTTGATAATGTTGAGTGTTGGGGGTAAGACACTTATGTACGTAATGAATTAACTAATGACAAAACACGTCGCTTGTGTATCTTGAATGCTGCAGATATTGTTTTCATCTTGACCTAGGAGCTAAGGAAAAATAGAGAGTGACAAGTGAAGGGTCCTAGGCATACGTGTGTCTGACTAAACGGTTGTACACATTTCTATATATATGTATAAGTGTTCGTATATATAAGTGTTTATGCAGATATTTATATGCTATATGCGTTATATGAATAATAATACATGTGAATACATATATTAGCCGGTAGATACGCATCGAATCGACAAATACACATATGTTTGTCATTGAAAAGAACGAAAACGAACGGAGCAGAGCGTTTCGTTGAAATTGCATTCCACCAAGAGACTCGCGTACGCATAAATTAAACAATACATTGCGTACTCCGTCAGCTTAGCAACTACTTTTTGCTTAAAGGCCTATAACATGAATCGTATCGTATGGAGTTGCCTATGCAGACTCCCCCGGCCAAGGGCTTGGTCAGAGGTGCGCAGCGGCTGAAAATCTGTGCAAAACTCAAGTAAGTTACTTAGTAAGAATTGTCCGTTTTGGGATGATGACCGACGACCAGATCAGTTGCGGCAGCTGTCTTGCTTCTCGTTGTCGCCACGACCGCTAGCGGTTGCGTTCGTGACTTTGTAAAGCATTTATCAGTAGGCCTGCGCCTCCTTGTAGTCGCTCTGGTCGGATGTGTAAAAGTCCTCCAGCTTCCATTGGAGTGTCTCGAACGTGGGTCTGCGCATCGGGTCCTTGTGCCAGCACTCCAGCATAATCTCGTAGAGGCGCGGCTCGCAGTTGGGCGGTTGCGGCATGCGGTACCCATGCTCCACTTGTGTTAGCACCTCAGCGTTGGTCATGCCTGCGCAAAAGGAAGGCGGTTAGTTACACGTTTTGATTGCTGCGAATCGACCGAGGCGAGGGGCTCACCTGGATATGGTATGCGTCCGTAAGTGACCAGCTCAGTGAGCAAAATGCCGAAGCTCCAGACATCTGATTTGATTGAGAATTTACTGTAGTTGGCCGCCTCGGGTGCCGTCCATTTGATGGGGAATCGGGCCCCAACTCGTGCCTCATACTCGTCCTCCTTGATGAGCCTGCATAGGGAGGAAGTACTGTGTTAATGGGAGTCCCTATTCCGAGCAGAGCGCACTTACCTGGCCAAGCCAAAGTCAGCAATCTTGACGATGTTGCCATCGCCGACGAGCACATTACGCGCCGCCAAATCTCTGTGGATATAATTCTGGGACTCTAGATAGGCCATTCCGGCAGCAATCTGAGCCGCCATATCGATCAGTGTCTGCATTTTGAGGCTACGACCCTTGCCTGCAATGGCTAAAAGATATTAAGCATACGTAAGGAATTGCCGTGACAATGATAAGCGAGGGTTTTGTTCGTTGATCAACGTTGCTGCTGGGCGTTAAGGATGGTGCTCAAGCATGAAATGCTAAATTTTCAGATCTTTCACTAAGCCTACCTTGGAGATATTCCAGCAGTGAACCGTGCTTCATTAACTCGGTGATGATGTAAATGGGCTCCTCCACAGTGCACACCGCGTATAGCTGTATTAGCTTGGTGTGCCGAAGTTTCTTCATGATCTGGGCTTCGGCCAAGAAGTCCTTTGGATCCATAGTGCCTGAAAGAAGCAGAAGCATATATAGGGGTCCCCTCTACTTCCAGCTATGCACAAACTCACCTGACTTCAGAGTCTTAATCGCCACGGGCGTGGTGTTGTTCCACAGGCCCTCCCAGACATCGCCGAACTGCCCAGAGCCCAGTTTGCGCACAAACTTCAGGGAAGTTCTGTCAATTTCCCACTGGTCACGAGTCCGATGCGAGAGGCCCTCGGTGACAGGCTTCTCGATCTGCGATGAGCGGGTGCGGGAGCGGACAGATAGGAAAAATTAATTAGTTATTGAATTGGCTATTGCATATTTGCGGGCGCATCAGTGTTCGACTTGGGGGAAATGGAAGCGAGTGCCGATCGAGTGATGAGTTTGTAGCGCACATTTAGGCCTTATTTACAATTTGAAAAAGCAACAACATGTTCCAATAAAAAGTTTGGTACGGATGTGAGCAGCTGAAATTAGGTTTGCCAGGTCTGTGGGTTGTAGGAGATCAAAGCCAGCCAGTCAGAGTGCAAAAGATCAATTTTAGTCTCTAGATGTTGTGTTAACACCAAAGCAAACTTGTAAACTTGAAAACTTCACCGGCTTCCACAGCTTGGGAGCCAATCTCAGAGTCTGTTATGTTTTCCTTCACTGCGTTTTAGCACTAATTAGACACGCGATATGGGGACATGACCAAATTGATCGATATTATTATTATACGGCGGCGAGTGGGGGTGGCGGGAAGCTTGTCGTGTCATGTGCTGGGGTACCGCACCGCCTAAAATGCACTTTGGACGCTGACTGTCTGACTGTTTGACTGTCTGGCGGTACGTGTGCGGGTGTGGGGCTGGGTTCGGTTTGTAACATCAATAAATGGAAATGATCGGTTAATTTCATTCGTTATGAGGGTGTTGATTGACAGCGACAGCATGGACACTGGTTTTTGGTACTCTTATGTTAATATGGGCAGTAAATCGATGCACATCGCAACGCTTTCGATAGAAATCCTACCTCAAAGGCACCAGAAAAAGAATTGGTCTTTTGATATTTTGTTAGTTTTTCGATTGGTTTTGGTTATTTGGTCGTTTTGTATTGTATTAATTTACAGACATAATTTTGTGTTAATCAAAGTAAAATATCGGAAATATATGAAAAATATAAAAGAATATCTTTAGTATAATACACGTGTTTGGCATTTCGAAGGAACGAAGAACAAAGACATAATAATGTAATATGCGAGCGTTAGCCTCCCACCCATCCACGCATCCACTGGCGGCCAGTTGGATGTTATTCACGATGTACGAGATTAAATCAAAGCAAAGAATGGCCGTAACGACTCGATTCGCTGCGTCGCTTACCTGGACACATGGCTTGCAGAGGTTGACACATAGGCCGTCGGAGTCCTTGGAGTAGTGTTCGACCAGCTCCTGAAGGGTTCTGTGTAGGAAACGAAAACCCGAGATGAAACACATTGCACTGCGGTCGCCGATTGCGCATAAACTCACCTAAATGTTGTGCGTCTGGCAATGAAGAAGCCGCCCTCGTCCAACTGCCTGATGCGATAATGCTTGACCGTATCGCCATCGCGCACTAAATATAATTTAATATAAACAGCATTAGCGATACAAAAAACAATACACAATAATTCCAGGTAAACGCCTTTCTGGGCGTGGACGCACCTGATAGCGAATAGTCGTTGTGGCGGCTCTCGGAATCACGAATTAAAAATGCACCGTGCTCGTTCTCTGGCAGTAGAAGTTTTTTTTCAGCCTCAATGCGTTTGATTTTGCGGAAGTACCAGCTGCAACGAGAGCGAAAAGCGCGAGGGGAGATTATTAGTGTTTCAGGTCTGTGGAAAATGAGTATAGTTTCGCGAGCACATTAAGTGCCCAGTGGCTGATCGTGTTTGTCGTAAATTGGCAGACTCTATTAAGGAAACCGATATATCAAGGCCGCTATATCAAGCGTTTCATTTCCCCCACGCCGACGCCGCAAAGCTTTCTCCGCGAATTGGAGGGGTCTGCGTCTGAGTCATGTTCATATCATCTGGCAAGTGGAGACCACTTTGGGTGGCCGGATTCACGCTTTTATTCCGACCCAAAGTTATAATTTGTGTGATAATTTATTTATTTAATATGCTGTTTGGCCTGCCTGCTCGTGTCTGACTGTGCTTTTTATTCTAACAACCGGCCGCATTCAATTTAAATTTACTGCCGGAGGTGTCATGAGCTCAACGATTGAACTTCCGAATTGGAATTCCGCAATTGAGCAACTTGTGAAGGGGACTGGTAGTACGCAAATGTAAGTGCCGCCACTAAATATGGCAATTATATGGTGTTCACTGTCGGAAGGAAGTAAAGTAGTTGGAAAGCAATTCGAAGATTCACTTGACAACGCAATTTATTACTGTTTTGTCTTCACCCTGGTCAATAATGCGAATTGTCAAAATCATATCGAAGCGTTTCAATCCCATTTGTTGGAGCATTAACATTGACCTTAATAGACAAAAGTAACTGGATGGGATGATGATTTCGGCCAACTCTCCATCCGTTTCTGCTGTTTGCTTTCGATGCGACGATAGCGAGAGGCACGGTGGCAATTAAAAGACGTGTGTGACAGATCTCTTACACAACTGTCCAATTCACATTTTGAAGTTCGTGACGAACGAGCACCAGATAACGGATGATGACAGAGAAGTGTGGCAAAATCTGCGAAACTTACAGCCATGTTCGTTTTATATATGTGTGTCTTATGCTCAGAGATAATAAGTCCGAGATGCGTATGCTACTCATATACATAGGTTAACGCTCCAGCAATACAAACACGAAAATCATTTTTAATTTCAAGCATAAACCACCACCGTATGCTTGTGGAAGTCTCAGAGAGCCCAAAGAGAAAATACATTTGGTAGGTGAAACAATTCCTGGCAAAAATAGAGCCAATTCCAAAGTTGAGGTATACAAAGTGGTCTTCCAGGAAGCGTAGTCGCCAGCTCCACTCAGAATTAGTTCTACAAATCTGCTGCAGCTGCTGGAAGACAACAATTGCGCCAAGCGCTTTGAATGTATAATTAACAGAACCAGTCTTTTTTTCATCTTTGCAGACAAAGTCCTCGTCAGGCTGGCCAATTTTAATTGGTCGTCCGCTCGCCAAGGAGCCAGCCGAACGTCTTGACTGATTTACACATATCATCAGTCCCACTTGACTGCCACCACCTTCATCTGCAGCAGCAACAGTTGCGAGTTGCTGCGAGGCTGCAACAAAGTGTGCAATTTGCCAGTCAACAGGATGATGCTTCGCCTGTACATGCCCATGAATGAGAGGCAAGTTTGTATGCGGTTTGAGTGATTAGCGGAACAGAAGCGTGTAGCGCGGGCTGATTGAGTGAGTGCCTGCCTCGCCAGCACGTGTCTATTACGCAAATAAGCCTTTATTAGACGCCATTTATTACGCTGCCCGGGGTTTGGCCTGTTTCAGGTCTGCTGGACAGGGAGGAGCGCATGCACGCTGCAAATGTATTTATAGACAACCGCCTCCTGGCCTGGTGTGTTCCACCATTTATGGCGCATACATGACTTTCATAAATATGCAGCCCGATTTAATTACACACAAGACACGATTGTCCGTGGGAATGGGCATCCTGCCGGAGACCATCTATCGAACCACGAATATTAGATGCTCTTTTCCCTAACATCAACTCGGTATCTATGAGATGGCTTCCTTAAGTAATAATAATAGAATCGTGGAGGGGAACTCAGTTTGATAAGCGACCAGCTTGCGATATTAAGTATAAGTTTTGTGTTCAACGGGTAAAGGTAAGGCGATATAAGCAATTTTAGTGATTGGAGTTGCAGAAGTTCGGGTACTTATTGCACCTTAGGGTTTGGTCTTCGAAAGAGGCAACCAACAAATTTATATGGCCAAGCCAAGGGTATGCAGTGTTACCCGGCCTTGTTGGCCTCGGTAGCCGCAACTGGATACTATTTTTAAACCAGACCACGCAACATAATTCGACTTAGTCTAAAAATATATACCTGCAACAACATGGTTAGCGTGGAGGATTTGGATTTTTCTATAGTTTTTTCCACGTCCCCGTATGGACATGCTCCTAGGCCTCTTTTTTGGCCGTGGCTAATGAATCGACGATGGCTTGCTGGATGCTTGTTCGATCTTTGGCGCAACAAGTTTGGCTTGTTTTGGCTGCATAAATTGCTCACCGGCTGCATGAAGGCATGCACTTTTCGAGTTAAAATTAGATTAACTGGCGAATAGATTGGCCATGTGCAAGTCCGTCGCGGCCTCCAGTTGAAGGAATGGTGCCTGCTCTACTTTGCTGGCCAGAAAGTCAGTCAACCCACTTGACGCGCCCAATTCGCACACGGAATACAGCCGATTGACACGGGTAGAGTCTGAGGATTTGGCTGGGCCATTTGGCCTGTTTTCACCAAGAGCCCAAGCGCCCGTTAGCATCGGCAGTTGGGGACAATCGGGACAGACGCCGACTAGCTCTGGCAGCCCGAATGGGTTCCAGCAACGGTTCCACTGCGTCGGTGCTGTCTACTGCCGCTCCAAACTATATACTCCGCGCTGGCTTTCTGCAGCTGCAGTTCTTGGGGAAACTCAAAATTCATTGAAGCAGGTCATAACGGAGACCGCCGTATTGTTTGGTTTGTGCAATCTGTTAGCGGACACGGTTCTCGACACATCACGAAAAAGTGGAAAAGAGACAGCTGGCAGTGATTTTCATCTTCATCAGCATAATAAGGTGATAGAAGCTGCTTAAAATCACTCGCAAGCAGCAATTACCAATGTGTTGCCTAAGCGCATTTCCCCAGCAAAATTATGTACTGCCTTGTGGATGTTTCTTTACAAATCCTGTCTGGTATAGCCCAACCATCAAACTCAAGCCCGAACCCCGATATCTCCCCAGCCAATCGCTCATGTATGGAAACTACTGAAAATAAACTTCATACGAAGACATGCAGTCCAGCCCGGCTGCCACACTGTCACTTTCACAATAATTGGCTGCAGAAACCTAACATCCGCTGCATATCACACATATTTATTTTCCAAAACATAATTGCAAGCACTGGAACAATCATCATGCCCGGCGAACGACAAGAGTCAATACGTAACAGAGTAAAAGCTCCTTGGAGGCCAGCCCCATACGATTTCGGTCCTGCCTTCTTTATGTGAACAGTCGATCCAATCGGTGCCCTCTGGGGTTATGAGCGAGCAGCAACTCTCCGCTTATTTCCTTTAAAACCAACAAATTATACGACTGATTTGCGATATGTTAATATTTTGAAGCGCCAATACACAACACAACCCCGCATAAGAACAAGAAAATCAGGCTGCCTTTAAATTAAGGCACTACTCCTAATTAAGGCATAAAAAATATGTAAGCATTTGTAGGAAAGTGTCTTGTTAGCAACGAAATATATTCATAAAACATCATTTGGCTGGGACAATAGGAAATTAAGTTAAGCTCCTCTTCTATCTCGTTCTGATGTGCCCTAAAGGATCAGTATTGAAACAATGACTAGCCAAAGCCGTCTAAGCGAAATTGTTTTCGAATTTAAGTTGCTAGCATAGATAGATCAATACCTCATCTGAGTAACCGGGAACACCGACAACGAGTTGTGCGAAAACCCCGGAGAGAAATGCGTCATTCACATTCGGTGAACCAACTGAAATTGAAACAAGAAAGGAAGCTAACTTCGGCACGCCGAAGTTTGTATACCCTTGCAGATATTATTTCATTACATTTTACCTATACTTATTATGTTTACAGTTTGACAGTTACAGTTTTGCATTTCCAGCTTTACATTTTCCCTAAATCTACCGATCGTTTATATGGCAGCTATATGATATAGGTGTCCGATCTTTTTGAAATTTATACCAAAATTCTAGAAGAGGAAAATAAGCTTATATCCCGGAGTAGATGAAAATACGTTGAAAAACAACGAATCTATAATTTTTTTTCTATTAATTTCCCGATCATTTCTATGGCAGCTATATGATATAGTCGTCCGATTTTCATAAAATTTTTACCAAAATTCAGAAATAATATAAAATGGTCATATGTAAAAAATAGTGCACATATGTTGGAAAACAGCTAAGTTCTAATTTTTTTTCGAAAAATATATCGAACATTTGTATGGCAGCTATATGATATAGTCGTCCGATCCGGCCCGTTCCGACATATATAGCAGTGAGAGCATATAGATGACTATATGCAAAGTTTCATTTAGATAGCTTTAAAACTGAGGGACTAGTTTGCGTAGAAACAGACAGACAGACAGACGGACAGACGGACATGGCTAGATCGACTCGGCTGTTGATGCTGATCAAGAATATATATACTTTATAGGGTCGGAAAGGTCTCCTTCACTGCGTTGCAAACTTCTGACTGAAATTATAATACCCTGCAAGGGTATAATAAAATTGCCACTGAAGGCATCTACTTTTCTTCATGATTATTCTTAGGCAGATCAACAAGATTTCCCCTTTCGTATTATTTTCATGTAATCTAAAAATTTAATTTATCAAGGAGGATACTGAAAAAAAATCTTCCCTTTATCCATTTACCGCCTTAAATCCAATTCAATTCCGGCATTCGAACTATCCATTGCCGTCGGCCATCTCAAGCAATTGGCAAATGACAGTTGTGGACCACAACTGTCTGGTGGAGTGTGTCTATTTTTAAAAACAAACCGAGTCCAGTCGATTTCAGGCAGAGCGATACGAGCAACACATAATTGTTGCACGGCACCAGCTACAGTAAATTTCCAATGCGATTTTATGGCCGCCGGCTGGGCGGTTCGGGATATGCTGGTTAAATAAGCACACTCCACGGCGCATAGATGGATAGGCCGAATAATAACAAAGAGCCTGCTCAAATTCAGTTTTCCTCCTCGGCTGCGAGAACCGCCAACGTTTGAACAGGGATCCACGTATTCGAGCCGGAGTGCGCTGAACAGGATGCCCAAGACGGACTCCCGGCAAATAAATCAAAGCACTTGCTGCGGATTTCGTGCGAAACGAATTCCAAATCGGTGCACCCAACAAGACACTCGAACACTGTTGGCTGCGAGCTGCAAGCTGCAAGCTGCGGGCTGCTTCTCTGGGAATGCAGCCAGTTCAGTGCATCTAAAAATAAATATGGTCCGAACGGGCTTCGTTTGGCGTGGCATGCTCTGGTCCGGCCTCGGCAATAGATTTGCTTTCATGGAGAATAATTTGTTAATGCAAGAGTGGCGGCCGGATCGCCTTTTTCATCCCTACAAGACTTCTTCCAGAATGGCTCGCAGTTGTGGTTGTCATTGCCATTCCTTTTAACGACGCAGAAGCAGCAGCGGGGAAAATTCGCAAATAGAAAATTGCTGTCTGGGAAATTATCAAGTTCCGGCTACGTTTTGAGTGTCCACTTTCCCAGGCATTCGCTTCTAGTTAGCTCTGCTCTAAGTGATTTGGCCAACACGCGACTACAATCAGAGAATGCTTTTCGCAAATTCTCGAGTTTGCTGGCGGAAAATTGATTGAAATCAGCGCCAAATTAAACATTACCCGATCGCATGTCATTAAATGTATCGGACACGGAGTGGATGCTCATAAAAATGTATTCAGTTTGAAGCTGCTTCTGCCATATAGCTCAGGGATTTAAGTAATATTTTTGAGACTATAATGGAAAGGCACATTATATTATCCTTCATGAAACAGATGAACGCATTCAGAAACTTAGCGTGGCAATTGAGACCTGTACTTACATCAGACAGACGTTGGGAGCTAACTATAACCTTTAATTTGCCAACGGGCCGAGGACTGTGGCTGTGGCTATGGGGCTGGCACAAAGCTTCTCACCACACCCAGCCCATTTCGCATTGTTCTGATCCGGACTCTGTAAGTACAGTGCCAAATCCAATAAATATGTCATGCCAGCTTTGGCCGACTGGAAATATACATACATAGTCACTGAAACGAAACTGAGTTTCAGCACTGCAATCGCCGGGTTCGTTTCGCTTTAAATGGCTTTTTAATTTGTGGGCACAACACAAGACAATTGAAAACATGCTGCTCTGGCAAGGCATAACCAAACGAGAAACAAAGTCGTCTAAATGAGTCCCATTAGTGAGAGTGAGGCGAGCAGCCCCCCAGTAAGTTGCACAATACGAGATACTCTGCTAATGCCGAAGCGACCGTTATCAACATTGTAAATGCACGTAAAAAACATTTAATATTCCATTTTTGTTCGGTTCCTAATTGTTCAGTTAGGTTGCCAGTCTAAGTTTAAGTTAACCGTAACTTGGCCTATCCAAATCAGCGCCAAATTGGCTCTTATTATGCCAAAAATGTAGCAGCAAACTCAATATAGCAATAAGAATAATGATTTAATGGAAAGTTCGTTGACAAGCGAGGGACTGAGCGCTCTATAGATATAACACCTAGGCTACTAAGTAACTGTATCGAATTGGTAACCACAAACATTTGTGACAAGCCTAAGGACCCTATCTTCAACCCGAAGAAGTATAAATCTTTTTTATGAATCTCATTTCTTTTCAGTAAAACTGCCGAAAGAAAACACCTGAAAAAATGTTGCCCTCTGGAATTTTATGCCAATTATTTTTCCAGCTGTATTTAATCACGATCCTCACCTGACATTCTGTTACTAACTGGATTTCCTCAGTCATTGCAAAATTCTTGCGAAAACACTTTTTCAATAACTGGGGTCTGCCTTTCCTTTTGGAGAAAACCAATCTCACCATGAGTAATGCCAGAACTACACATATATGCAATAAAAAGCTACTAAACACAGCACAAAAGCTTAAAACAGAAATGAATATCCGCACAGTATGATAAATAAAATTAAATCAATTAAACTTATTTCTGCATCATTAAAACTATAAAATTCCACTACATGAACTAAAAAAATGAATGTTTAAAATAACTATTAAGATTCGATGATTTTCTAAGGTGCATAATAAGATTAGAAAAAAAAGTACTACCCATAATAAAAATATTCTTATTAAGATTGAATCGCAGCTGTAGACCCACAACAAACGAAGTCCACAAACGGAGAATTCGCTTAAATTGATCAATATGATGATCGTTATGATTTGCTCCAGTTTCCAGGGAATTTATTTTGTATAAAAGTTTCCCTAAAATCAGATCCCAGCTTTGTATAACTAGTTTCGAATTGGAAAGTATTCTAATAGTAGATAAAGATCATTTTAGCGGACCATTGAAAATTCATAGCAAAGAAAGTGAAAAGTAAATACGTAGATACGCATCTTTATATATTTTACATTGCTCGTACACGCATCAGGAAGTTAGTCGAATCTCGTCTTGTTTTAATTCATACATTATTTTTAAGGCTTTCAGAGCTGAACTGAGTATTAGTGCCGAAACCAAGGCCTGGGGAGATGTGCATCTCGGTCATTTGGGCACACCTCGCGATTGAAAAAGACTTTTGTCTCTTAATGTAATATCACTCTTAATTTCAGCTTTCTTTCTTGTACCTTGGATTGAGTTGAATTGGCTGAAATTGTGGCTGGGTTTTGTCTTTACCCTCTGTGCTTCGGTTAGCCTGAATTTTGAGAGACAGCACTAACATTTGAGTTTGTTGGGGCAGACTCTTGAGCAAAGTAGACCTTTCGTATTGATATGCAAATTTCAAACGTTGAAACCATTGGAAGCATTTTGGCCTTGGTTTGACTCTCGAGCCTCTGTTGCAGTGGAAAATGTTTACTTACACTATGTTTGCGAGGGAATTACAGTTAGTAATACTAACGATTATTGGCACGCGATCCACATTTTTAACATGTATGTATCTGAGAGCTAATATGGTAATTTTAATATTCCTAGAAGAGAATATTTTTAACAATATTCGTTAGGGTTAATAATTCATTCTTGCCTATTATTTCTATTGCTTTTTTTAAGGGTAATAATTGCCAATTTGCATCCAACGGCCATTATTGATGAATAGCCAATAAACTTTTCCTACCTTATTGGTGTATACAAGGTTCAAAATCTCTAAGTGATATTTCGGGCTGATTCTCAAGTCATAAATTAATGAAAACACAAATTGCATACGATGAGGGGAGCGGGTGGGTGACATACGTGCAGCTCTAGAGGCTAAACTTACGATTTTTCATTTAAAAATTCGCCGCGCGTAAATTCCGAAAGTCGGCGCGATTTTCCTTTCTTGGACTTTGTAGTTGCTGGGCTCTGATCATTTGAGTTAAAGTTTCCACATACGGGAGAGCAGGAGGCCACAGGGCCGACAAGGTTGGAGGTGGCGGGCAGCGAGCGGGACTTTTCACTGGTAGACAGCGGAGGCTTCTCGGAGAGGTGGTTACATGTACACTTCAGGGGCTCTTGGTTGGACCAGCGGCGCAGCGGCTGCCGGCTAGTAGGCGCGGCTACTACCTGTAGGCAGTTGTCGAGCGAGTGCTTCTTGGCCAGCGGCACTTGCTGGCGCTGATGCAGGCAGCCATGCTGCTTCAGGCTCCGGCGGGGACACGGTGGAGACGGGGAGGATGCAGAGGAGACTGACACCGACAGGGAGATGGTGTCCAAAGAGCTGGATTTGGTCAATGCATTCCGGGTAAAGGGTTCCCTCTCACAGCCACTCTCCGCCTCCTGGTCCTGACAACGCTCCCTTTCAAGCAGCCGATGCTGGGCAATGATGCGGGTATAGAGCTCTTCGGAGTCCAGCGGCAGCAGTAGATTTGTCACTCCTATTCGACGCTTGGCCTGGGAACGCTTCTGCTTGGCGTCTTCGTTTCCAGTGGACTCCTGCGGCTCGTCATTTGTGTTTCTGCTATAGCTGAGAATGTGCGAAAGGCGACGCATCTTGTGGGGCTTGATGGCCTTTGTAGTACTTGATTCCTCACTGGCCTCGACCTTGCCCACCGGCGATGCTTGTGACGGCTCCTCCACCTGGGACACTACAAAGCGTGAGGGCTTGCCCGATTGCGTTTTGGCCTCCGTTTTGCTAGTGGCATAGCTAGCGTCCTGTTTCTCGCCCTGCAGGATGTCGTAGATTGTGCCATACTTGTGTGGACTACTTTTTGAGACTGCGACGGAAGCCTGGGTGATCATGTTACGTTGCTGACGCAGCTTCTCGCGCTCCCCCTTCTGAGAAATATCTTGGTTACTGTCGCCCGAGGATCTGCCGCCTTCAAGAACGGAGCTCAGACTCTTGCGCTGCCATTTGTCGCCGCCCTGTGAGGACTTGCGCCGCAGGATCTCGTAGATGGTCCCGTAGGTCATATACTTGTCATACTTCTGGTAGATGTCGTTCTTGCGCTGGATAATGTCGTATATAGTGCCGTAGACCAGCTTGTCGTAGATCTTAAAGTTGCGCCTGTGGTAGGAGTTGGAGCCTTCGGTATGGCTGCCCTTGTGCGACGCCAGGGCAACGTAGGCCGACAGTTGCTGCTCCTGGACATTAAGCTCCCGGGGTCTATTCTCCTTGTCAGACTTTGGCTCCTTGGTCGAGTGCAGGCGCTGCAGAAAATAGCTGGCGAAGCTCTTGCGCTGCCGAGAGTTCTGGCGCTTTAGCTGCGACGTGGATGTGGCTGTTGTTGCTGCGGTTGTGGGTGCGACCACAGCTTCGGGAAGAGGCAGGGATTCCATGCATTCCAGGGGCTCAATTTCGCTAACCAGACGCTTGAATTCCTCGTACGAGGTTCGACGCTTGTGCGCCTTGGCTCGCTCCTTGGCCGCAAATTGATGATCGAGAATCTGCGATAGAAAATTCGAATTCTTTCGCATGGCATCTGTGGTGGTGCTGCTGACTGAAGGTGTTGTGGAAGCCGTTGCGGTGGCCGCTGCTTCTGCTGTTAGATCGCATTTGGTAGAAGCGCCTTTTTCGCCATCGCTGTCAGCTTCGCCGGTATCCATTTCATCGCCGCTGCCGACAAACTCGTTTACGCAATCCGGTTTGCCTCTCCCACCCGGGACGCCTGAGGTGTCTTGTTCTGAAATGGAGGCAAGTGGTGCTGTCGCTGCTGGGATCACAGTGTTGCTGGTCGCAGTTGCGTCATCCACTGCCGCTGTTGCCTCCAGCGGTGGCATGGACACTGGCGCGACCGCTTCCGCGACGACGCTGGGTTCAAAAAACATAGCTTTGAACTCCTCGTAGGACTTGCGCCGATTCCGCGACTGAGTCAGACATTCCTTGTAGTTGCGCCGCGCAATTTTCTCCCCGCTTTGCCTATGTGTTATTATTGGCCCCGATGACGATTCGGGTGACGCTTCTTCTGCCGCCGCCGCTGCTGCTGCCGCGGCCGCTAGGGCATCAAGTTTATTCTGCATCTCCATGAAGCCAGAGTCCATTGAGCTGAGCGTACTGGTGGAGTCAAAGCTGGTCTTACGGCTGGAGTTGTTACTGCCCGGAGAGCCGGGCTTCGGAGGAGTGGGCGGCGGCGTATCCAGAAGGGAGAGCATTGAATTCTCCTCATTAGGGGCGCAGAGTAGGTCCACAGCAGCTCCTGCCTGCTGGTCCACCGCCGGCACTTCCTCATTCGCATCTCCGCCCGGCACTTGCACCTCTTGGTCGTCGTCGAAGCTGATCAAATCACGTCCGTCCACGAGTGCTAGGGACGGCTCTTCGGGCACCACGGCCAGCATGGTTGCCTGTGTCACTTCCTCAGTCTTTTCACCGTTCGGCAAGTCGCGATTTTTGTTTACCACTGCGTAGAGAGGCAATGTAGCTGCCGGATTTTCCAGTGTTGCCGCTGGTGCTGTCAGCGATGTAGATCGCGCCGCCGTCGGTAGGGAACTAAACGCTTCACTGCCGATGCTCGCTCTAGTCGCTGGGCTGTGCTTGAAAGGGGGACTCGGATTCGGATTCGGAATCGAGCTCGGACTCGGACTCGGACTTGGCATCGGAATTGTCGACACCTCTCGGCCTCCGCCCACATTGCATGCTGCTGCTGCTGCCGGCGATGTTGTTGTAGTCGCCGTAGTTGCTGGCGTGTAACTGCTGCGATTATGAAAGATTTTAACACAGTGCATGGGTAATTTTTGATGGCGGTGTGCCCGATTACGTGCGATGCCCATGGAGACGGTGCCATGGGGTTTCTGCCGCTGCTGCCGGCGGGTGTACTTGCTGGCAATGCTGCTCACAGGATCCACCTTTAGCTGCCATGTCGCCGGGTCGTTGACCGGCTCATAGTCGCTGCTCTTGCCACTGGCACTGCCACTAACGCCGTTACAGTTCTTCAGGTAGCGCTGCAAGCGTCGGCTGGCACAGGTGCTGTTGTGATTGGTGCGCTGCTCGTTCATACACTTGGCGCAGCACAGGAACTCGTACAGAATCTCGTCACCTTGACCATCTTCTGGCCTTTCTTCATCTGCATATAAATCTTGGTGGGGTTTAGACGACGGCGAGAATTTCGGCTCCAGCAGGAACTCCAGTTGAGCGGCAGCAGCTGCAATCGCCAGTCCGGCTACTTTTCCTTCCCCTGATCCTGCTCCTCCGCCTCCTCCCTGCCTTGAACCCTCCGCCTTGCTGACCGGCATAAGGATGTAAGTGTTCTTGGCGTTCTTTGGCTGAATCGGCTCACTTGGCTCACCGGGACTGCCCAAGCTGCTGGACTTCTGTTCCACGATGGAGCTCTCGATGCTCAGCCCGCTGTCCAGCAGCGTGAAGGTGCCATCTGATGGAAGAATGAGCCTCCCCTCAGCTGCCGCGTTCACGAGCTCCCGAAGGGCGGTGACCTGCTTCTCTGTCACATTGCCCTGCAACTGGATGCCGTGCAGCGCGAAGGCTGTGGGCTTGTTGTTCACCGAGTTGGGATCGGTGCACCACACCACGGGCATGGCTGTCATGCTGGATGCCTCCAAGAGTAGAGGTGAGCGAGCTAGCGGCTGAGGAGAAAAAAGGAAAGCAACTGGGAATCAGAGACATTTTCGATAGTCTTCTTCTGGATTTCTTTACTGGTTTTTCGTGTACTTCGCTGATTGCCAAATCAAAGGGACTAATAGCGCGGAGGAATTTCATTCTGGTTCTTGTTTACCACTAATTGAGACCCGAAAATTATGCGATGCCCAAAAATATTTATGTAAATCGCGACGTTGACTCAAGGGGTTGTCAAAAGGCATTTGTTTTTGCGACCTGCGACGGTTGGCTTATCTCCATTCTACTGAAGGTGGCCTTGAATTTTCTCATGAAGAGGTTCGTTAGACATGCAAAACTTCGCACAGAAATACAAACAATTGACGGCGTGCACAATGGAACGAAGTGCAAAACGTTAGACATTTTTATGCGATCCGCATGTGATGATGGCATGAATTGGAGCGGATCGCACGGCGCTCTAAATTCGGGAAAGGTTTCAGTTGTGGCACGCAAGAACTGAACGTGATGGACATAATCAAAAGCGCCTGGCTGGAGCCACGTCAAAGAGAGCATCCTAACGAAGTGCTTCTCCAGAGTAGCTTGAATTCAACTTCAGTTCTCAATCGGAAGATCACCTTCGGAGAAATAGCTCATGTCAGCAAGCCCGTCTGATTCATGGGTGTACGCAGAATACGTAACGCCTTTGGAAGACTTGCTTGCTAATTAGTCGTGGGCCGTAGGGGTTTCAATTGATTGGCAACAATTATGTCTTGCCCCTGCTTATTCAATGAACCCTGCCAGAGCAAACTCGAGCAGAAGCCACATAGCTTAAACTGAAGGTGCCTTGATGGCTTTCGGCTGACCAATGAACTCTGCGACCACACAATCACATGAACACAAAACGAGATTAAATCTCAGCTTCGAGATTGTGACTTAGTCCAAGGCAGAAGTTCGACTCGAGAGTTACGCTTTGCGGCGAGGCAACAGGCTGCCGACAAAGGAACACTTGAGACAGAATGGCCAAAAGAGGCGATGGGAGAGGAAGCGTTCAACTGGACATCCTGCGAGCAAATGGGCTTCGCCGCTCCCCAACCATTCGCAACAATGTACTGAAACGCAGAACCTCACCGTGTTGACGGCATCAGCAAATGTCAATGTCAACAGCAACCGCAGATGATAACGAAAACGAAAGAAAAAAATACATGAACGTCAAGGCTTAAACGTTTTTTCTTAAAAAATGTGTATTTCTTGAGAGGGTTTCCCATGTCGTAAATGAAATAGGCATCAATACAGAAAATAAGTAACCTGACACAAAACAAAAGCTAGTTTTGATGCATTTCTTTAATTGTTTATAAAAACTATGGGTCACTTGGAAGAGTAATTAGGCACTGGACATCGATCTCTTGAAGTTTATGTTTCATAAAGACCGACATTCCTTTATGATATCGGCTTTTAATGCCGATCAAAATATATACAATACAAAATATACATTGTAAACTTCTGGCTAAAATGTTAATGCTGGTGTCAGATAATATATGAAATACGTAAACGTTTTGTTTCTGAATTTTGTATTAACAGAAAAAGTCTTTTCCTATTTACATTTGTTGTTTGTTCCCTCGTGGGGTGTATGTTTAATACAAGCTCGAGTTAAATATTATTTAAAGCAACTAACTGCTGCGCTGATTAACACTGACAACAACCTTAATAACGGCGGCACTCAAAACCTGTTGAACCCGTCCCAGGCACAAATACTCGTAAGGAGATTGAAAGCATTTCTGGTAATGGCAATAGATTCCTTTCAGCTATTCTTTGTTACTCCAAGAACTAGTTACGGCAAACCGAGAATTGATATTACCAGCAATGTAAAGCGTTGAAAAATTAACCAGGGTTTAGGTTCAGGTTATTTTGAGGGTTCCATAAATATGAAAAGATTACTTTGCTTCTGAAAAATGCATATTGCTAACTAGGAAAAGGGCACCGCAATGTAAAACTAAACTAGTTTTAGTATACCAGCTTCGGATAATTCCATAAGCTATGTCAAATTTTCTTTAATCAACAAAAGAGTTTCCAAATCAGGCTCCTTTTATGCTACCCTTCAAGTCGGGTAGATTCATTTTAGCATCAACAATATTTCCTTAGTCTAAACGCAAACACTAATTTGAACAACGATGTGATGGGGTTTTCAAAGCTTTTGAAGACATTGGTTCGCTTCTGGGTTAATTAAGTTCGCTTTAAAAGTGATTTCCATACTTCTTTAGCTACTGTTTTTTGGCATTCGCAACTGTGTGCAGATATTCTCTATATATTGTAATTTGTTCATGGAGTGAAGGCTAACACGACTTTCCGAAGGGTTTACCAGGGGGGCGTTAATAGACTACAACCGACAGAGCTTACCACGGGCGACGTTATCACAGCAATTTGGGTTCGACGCCAGCTATTCAGGGCTGATCGACGTTAGAACATGCAAGGTTAACTCCCTCAAGGGCCGCCCCTTGACAGAAGCTCGCTCGGCTCGAAATCGAACTCAAAATCAAAATCGAAATCAAACACAAGCCTAGCTATCTGACTGACCTATGCTAACCGAATTGAAACATGGTCATTACAAAATACCGCTCGGCTTGTTGCTGTTGGTTTGAGTGGGCGATGTTGGCTTGGTTTTTTTGCTAGCAGCGCGTGCCAAGAAAACTGAACAAGCCTAACATAATAACGGGCATAATGAGCTGCAGAGCCAGCCACAGACTCGTGTGCGAATGGCTGAAAGGTAACAATTGCACTCAAAAGTACTACGACCCAATTTGAACCGGTTTCATCGTGGTTTTTCGTTGTGGCTTGTTGTTTGTTTCCTTACTTCTGCTGCGCCAATCAAAAGTGCACAGCACCTTAACCGCCAAACCTCGAAAATCCAAATGAAAATCAGATAGACTCTTAAACCGAATGTTTGCTAGCGATGGCTGCAGCATTGTTGGCCCGCAAACATAGCCACATAGCAGCAGACAGGGCTGATATTCTGCTGAATAGTCACAGCGAATATTAATAAACAGAGAATTTTGAAACATAGACAGCCAAGATGTATGGACCAGCATAAATTCAGCTGCAGCCGAACGAGCACCCATAAAACCGATGGCACGCCCAGCTAATAGGTAGCTAATTAGTGCGAGAGAGCGCCTGGGAGGGAGATCGATGCAGACTAAACCCAGGTGGTTTCGTACTTTCTCCGCGAAGACAAAAATAAAATCAACTTTATTCCCAAAAAACCACTGCTGGTCAAGCTCAAGCATGTAGTCCGCAGCTAAAAGCCCCAAGCTTGAAGTCCGAGTCAGCGTGCGGCTGCCCATTTATGTGGAAATGAATAAATAGTTAGCTTTTTGGCCACTAAAAACCTAGCCAGCGACCGACAACCACCGACAGCGAACAGACACAAGCTGATGGCCAAAAAAGAGTGTGGCTTTGATTTTGTGCCCATGATTTAGGTCATTGCACAATGGTAACGAGATCACTGACTAAATTTAGTAACAGTCACTCCATCATTTCACTTATGTATGTATGTGTTTTCCAAACTCAGCTTGTTTTATTTCGAATATTTATGCATAGCCTACGAATTTGAGTTCAGAAATTGGTTTGCTCTCGAATCTGAGACTTGGATAGGATCAAAGTGGAGCAATTAGCAACTGTGTCAGAGAATCCAAAAAGGCTAAACTTAAGCAAGAATCTATGAGAAGCAAGCTCAAACGTGGGCTCTAAACCCTGGATATGTATTTATAACCCACACTAAAGTCTTTCAGTATTGAGTTGCTATTTAACAACTCTTTGACGTTACCACAGCGTCAGTCAATGCACTTCTTGCTGTTCTCCAAGTGGGAACAAAAGTGCCAGAGGTCACCACTTGCATACCGCAAACAAAAATGAGCGGAGTACAAAGCCAGCCCCTAGAAATCACCAGCTTTGTCCGCCTCTTTCTGCCTCTTGGCTCTTCTCCCTTGACGTCTACACTATATAAAGCCTCGAAAGCAATTTTCATGTGCTTTCAACTGAATATTTTGTATCTGTATCTGTATCTTTATCGTTTTAACTGCCGTTGCTGTTGTTAACTGCCGCTGGCTGGCTGACATGACTCATCGTACAGGAAATTCGCGGCCATGGTGCTAAAGAGTGTGGTACGAAGAAGAGGGGACGGATCCAGAGCCCGCTGCAAACAAAACCTAAAGCCGAGCTTTGACTCGGGCCCCAAGAATATGTATGTACATATGTGCGGTCTGTCCGAGTCACGTAAGTCCAAATTGATACGGTTCTGGGGCTAGAAAAGACAAAAACGCAAGCTAAATGCACTACAGTCGGGGCAACAAATACGGGCTAGCCATGTGCACACAAATACATATCTCGCTCGTTCGGCGGGCGAGTTGAGTTGTGCATTTTAGCACATAACGAGCGATAAAGTTCGCGAAAACCTGAGGACGCATTGCATAACGTGTCGCCAATCCCAGGAATTCCCTTGCGAGACATGTTCTCTACGGGTTCTCTCATTTGAATTCCAGCTGTGTGCGCCGAAGGAGGAAGATTGTTTGGCTTAGCCCAGCGAAGGCAAGTAACCAGCGAAGCGCACGCAAAGCAGTAAAGAAAATAGAAAGTTCTGCGCCAGCTCTTCGGGATCTGAGGGGAATCAAGATCCCGGAACGGAGGTGGCAGTGTTCCGCGATGCGTACCTCTCTTCTAGTTGCTTCTCCGGCGGCGGCTGTTCATATCCGCGGCACAATGCACTTTCAAACAAAGGGGAGCCACACTGGCCGTTAGAAGTATGCCACCAACACAAACGCGTCGCGCATGCGCCTTTACGTGCAACAAGTTTTCGATTTCGGTTTCCAGTGGCTAACGGCTAATGGATAATGGCGAGTTGCGGAGATCGCGCGAATGATGAAACTCGCGAGTGCGGCTGATTCGATTTTGGATGTGGATTCGAATTCGATTTCCTACGTCTCGTCAGCTGCGATGGTTGTTGTTTATTCACTTTACTTTACGCGCCTTCCGTTCACACGTCCGTTTTGAGCACCGCTTCGCAGACAACTGATACGTATATGAAATTTTTATAGAAAGGTTTTAACCGCTCGCCAGCATACCAACTCACCGACTCGCCGTCTTGGCGTCTATGTGTTTGCGAGTGCCATTTGAGCCAAGATCGGGGTTTCGCTCCCGCTCTCCATTAGTCTGCCTGCCTGAATGTGTGAGTGCTTCGCACAGTTTTATACCTCTTAAAACCTGACCAAGAAGTCCAACAGCTGATAGAAGAGCACGCTGCCTCTCTTCGGTCATCTGTGCACGGGTGCCGCGCTCTTACTGCGCTCTTCGGTTCCGCCGCAGTTTACGACTTATGGATAAGACGACTGCAATTAGTCACACCAGTGCGTTGATTGCAAAGATCAAATCAAGTTGAAAACAATTAATCGCGGGTTACTGACAAAATGTCAGCCTGTATTAATTTGTTTACAGAACCGAAATAACTCGGAGCTGTCACGTCACTGGTGACCATATTATGCGCTCCTAAATGCCACCGTCTCGGATGGATTCTTTCGAACGCCATTGAACCCGTCATCGCTAGGAAATTTTCAGCTGATGAATACTAATTTTGTATGGAATGGAAATAAAATAATTTAATTTGTATGTGTGCAAAATATATCGAACAAACAAATTATTGTTTTACACATTCCACCCGTGTGAATAAGTTGTGAGTTTCAACGGATGTGATGCTTAGATTGCCACAAAAAACGATCCGCCATCCATCATCAGATAACCGATAATCAGATAAACAAAGATGGTTTAAAATTAATAGTTTTCCGACTATTTTAGCTG